GACTCAAAAATCCCAGGGAGGGCAGCTTCTCCCAGCTCACCTTGTCGATGAAGGAGGCGAACTTGTTGTTGAGGGTCTTGATCTGCTCCCGCTCCTCAGTCCGCACCCGCTGGATGGTGGGGTCGATTTGCAGGTTCAGAGGAGTGAGGAGATTCTGGTTGATGGTGACCTCTTGGATGCCTCCAGGGGGGCACACGGGGAAGCCAGAGCCCCCATAGCCACCAGCAAAGCCAGCTCCACCACCGAGCCCAAAGCCACTACCAGCTGCACCGCCGAATCCAAATCCACTCCCGGCTCCAGCTCCGAAACCAAAGCCCCCTCCAACTCTGCCGCCGTATCCTCCACCGATGGCACAGCTGCCCCCTCCGATGGAGATCCTCTTGGAGCCCCCCAGGCCGTAGAGGCTCCGGCTGCCAAAGCCAGCTCCTCCACACACTCCACCAAGGCCACCACTGCCCCTAGAGCGGGACACGGAGACACTGCTGAAGCCAGAGCGGCAGACCCCAGGGACTCTGGCTGAGCTGGCACTGAAGCCACGGCGGCTGCTGCTTTGGCTCCTCATAGTTGTGCTAGACATGGTTCCTGAAGATGCGAAGGCTGGAGAAGGCGTGAGAGGCTGGAGGGCAGAGCTGAGAGGAGCAGATGTGTGAGATGAGCTTCCCGTAGCAGTTTATATATAGTGAAAATGGGCTGGGCCCAGTCCTGGAAGGTGAGCTTGCAGATTGGGAAGGGCTGGGCTTTACAAATAGTGAGATCACATCTGGATTGTTAGAAAAGTTATGAAATATGAAGATTGTATTTTGGCTTCCTTTAGTCAGGGAATATTTTCTTGCCTTCCAGCTTTGACTTGATCTCTGTACAATAAGACTATTCACTGAACTATGAGTTAGTCACTGTCTTAAACAAAGGTTCTGCCTTTAATGCTTGTGTATCAGAAGATACTGAGTGTTCTCCTCTCCAACCTACTACTTCACCCAGCAGAGATTGCAGGTCAAAATAACCTGTTAAATATGCCTCATAAAAAATTTCCATTCCTTTTCATGGTATAGAAAATTATAAAATGACTTTCTTTCCTCTAATGTAAAATTTCACGCAGATAGATAAGTACAATAACAACGTGATGGGCCACTATGTGTTATCCCACAAATTTATAAAAATTATTATATCATGGGCAGACTTATTTCTTCCATACTCCCACCCAATGTTTTAGCAACGCTAAACTATTTGATAGCAAATCTAAGAGATCATATTTTTATTATGTAAGTCTATATTTATATTTAAATAACAAATTTAAAAATAAGCAAAAGATTTTTTATATTTCAAATATTTATATATTCATTACATCAACAAATGTTAATTTAATCATCATGTAAACCTATGTGTTATTTATTTTTTATTGTTTGCTTATCCAAATTAGGATCCAAATAAGTCCATACATATTGTATTTTGGTGTTATGTCTTTCAAATCATTTAAATCTTAAATCACCCTTCATTTTTTTCTCTGCTTTTTATTTGCTAAAGAAACCAGGTTATTTGTTCTGTACTACTTACACTCTTTGGGTTTTTCTAATTGCATATTCAAGAATATCATTTAACAAGCTACTGTGTCCTTTTTATGTCCTGTAAACTGATAGTTAAAACTAGAAGCTTAATAAGCTATGTATTTAAACTTTCCAGATGTAGGTGTAGATATTGTTTATTGTTCCTTACACACTTATTTATATATTTAAAAATCAAATAAATAATACATGCTTAAGAAACAAAATACATGCTCAAGGCCATTGCCCTGCCCAGTTGCCTAATTCCTGTATATGGAGGCGAGCAGCGTTCCTAGGTCTTTGTGTATCCTTGAACTTCTCTTGGATAGGTTTCTATGCTTTTCCTGGGGCATGTGTGATGTGTATTGCGTGTGTGTATTTATAAAATATATGTGCAGATGTGTGCATAAATATATATAACACATATATTCTCTTTTCCAATTATGTTTGTATCTACTTTATTTTCCACATCTATATTTTCTCTTGATTCTCTTTTAATACTCTATAATAGCTATTCCATAACTACTTGTTTTTCTCCACCTTCACCTATGTGTCCATTACACTGAATTCATCAATGTCTTTTCATCTTTGTGCTGCTTTTGGTTTGGACTTCATTTCTGTTGTGGCTTCCCCCTCCCCCGCCCCACCCCAGTCCTTTTCTGAGCTATACAAGCTAATGTTTGAAGCTTTTATTGTCTCACTATATTTCCCCTTAGTTCTCTGATTTTATCATGGTGTTTATGTCATTCAATTTTTTGTTAATATTTTACTGTGACTTTTTTTCTGTTGAGTGCTTTCTTATATGCCTTTTGCTTTTCTTATTCCCTGCATTTAAAAAATGTGAAGTATCTTTTGTGGGTCCTGAAATGATTCTTTTCTGACTAGTGCTCGTCTTCAAGTGAGATGAGCGCCTTCTGGACTTGCCATTTTCAGAAAATATTCTGGGAGGAGGGGCTAGGGCTATATCCAGGCTAATAGAAATTTCTCATTATGACACAGCGCTGTGTGAATAATTCTGTCAATCTCTAATTGGGCCAAACCAACAAAGATTGCTCCAGAGTGGCTCACAATTCCTAGCCTTTCTTTGTTTCACCAACAAAATGCTGCCAGGGAGACTTTACTGTGATTCCTTATTCAACACTACCTTCACAGCTTCTTGAAACTTCATGATATACGATGTTTTGCCTGTGGCCCACACACCCAGTTCTGACTGTTGCAAGCAAGGGCTTCTTGGATTTGCACCTAAAGAAATGTCCTTTACATTGTCTTAGTAGGAGTTACATGAGTCAACAGTGCCTGGCAAGCAGGAAAACCTCAGCGTTAACTTTGTTTGGTGTTCTTTTGTGGTTACCATGTTGCTTGGTTTTAATTTGTTTGTAAGAGTGTTCTTCACTGGGTTTCTCTCAGATCTGCAGCTGTGGGCATCTTCTCTGAGTTTTGCTAATAGTTGTGTGTATTCTCTATTTCTGTGAGACTATTCCATTTTTTGGGCTTAGAGATTTTAAGATCTTTTCCTTTTGGTGGTTGAGGGTAGAGTCTACCTTTATGTTTCTTCTTCTGGTTTTTAGGTAATTTCTGAGGAGAAAATGCCTCCCTTTACTGTGTTATAGTCAGAAGTCTCCCATTCACATATCTATATTTCAAATGTCATATTAATTATAGTCTTAAGATAATAATTTAAGTTAGACATATTATTTTTTCCTCTCTCATACTTCATGGAAACAATTTTACTCAGTGCAGGTGTCATTGTCCTCAGGGTCTCTCTCTTCTCTAGAACCGTGTTGTGAGTCACCCGAAATTTTTCTACGGGACATATTTACTATCACTAGAAATTTAATTCCAAAATATATCTGTGCTTTATCAGTGTAACAACCTCCTTTACTGCAAAAACAAAATTCGTATCACTGAAAATTTCAGATACAATTAAAGAGAACAGTATATAAACCACCATGTACAAATCACCCAGATTAAACAATTATCTACATTTTCTCATTATTGTTTCATCTAATTCCACTACTTTTCATATCTGAATCCTCTACTTTTTTTGTTGAAGTAACCTAAAGAAAATCCAGACATCAAGTCATTTCACTTGTAAATATTTTGGTGCATATCTAAGTAATAATGAATTTTAATATAAATTTGAACATAAATGGGTATTAGATTTAGTTCAGAAATGACTTTTGGTTATGATAGATATAATCATTGTTGTGTAGTTAGATTTAAAAATGTAGTTAGTGAAAAGTATGCCCTAACTCCAATCAGTCTGTAGTCTGACAAAGTCAAGTTATAGACTCTTTGTAATTGAGGAGACCCACAAATGTAGGAAGATACAGAGGTAATGTGCCATTCTCATCACATCATATCAAGGGTACATATCATCGGTATGACTTACCACTGTTGATTTTAATCTTGATCACCTACCTGAGGAAATGTTTATTAGATCTCCCTACTGTAAAGTTACTTTTTACCCCCTTTCCATACTGTACTCTTTGGAAGGAAGAATTATTCTCTACTTCCTTGAGGGAGCAGTACCTATGTAAATAATTTGGAGTTCTTTTGCGTAAGAGTTGTCTATCATCTCTTGTTATTATTAAATCATTTTTTCATATCGGTATGGACATGAATATTTATTTTATACTTTGGATTATAATCCAATACTTTATCATCTGTTATTTATGTATGTATGTATATATGTATGTATGGCTCAAATTGTTCCAATTTGGCTATTGGGAGCTCTTTCAGTGTTTTTTTCCCCCCATCCCATTCCTGGAACCAGTCATTTCCCCTTTATTTTAAATAAGGAGACTTTATTCCTAATTCATCAGGGTTCTCCAGAGAAACATAACCAATAGAAGACAGATATATAAGAAATTGACTCATGTGATTTTGGAGGCTGGCCAAGTTCAATATCTGCAGAACTGATTTCCCAGTTCAAATTCAAAGGCTGGCAGGTTGTTGTAGAACTAGAAAGTGCTGGCATCCCAATAGGAAAAGAATCGGACAAGAAAATTCTCCCTTATCTAGTGGAAGATCAGTCTTTCGTTCTATTTAGGCTTTCAACTGATTGGATGAGGCCCACTTATATTATGGTGTGCAGTCGACACAGTCTACCAATATAAATATTATTCTCATCTAACTACATCCTCACAGAAACAGCCAGAATAATTTTTCATCAAATATCTGGGCACCTTGTAGTCCAGTCAAAATGATACTTAAAATTAATTAACCATCACACTAATGTTGGGTAATTCTTTTAGAAACCAACAGCTGGTTTCTAGATGTGCTCATTGCTACTGGGGTGTCATTGTTTCTAGGTGCCATTAGTGATAGACAAAAAAAATTGGTGTATTCTAGTCCCTATATATGCACATATCTATAAATATTATCATATGTAAGCATCTGTATCTATATTAAACTAACCATAACTTCACACTGATGTCTACAACTCTAATTCATTACCATAAGGATCATTTTAGCCTTCTCCTTTGCTGATCTGTAACCTTATACACAAACAGTGATAGACTTTGCTCCAACCATCTGCCATTCATTTACTTAATTTTTCAATCAGAGTGTATATGTTTAGTGGTTTCAGAATTATTAAGCCATGTCTCCATGGGAAACCATTTTATCAACTAGAGTATAGAGTTTATGTATAGTTCCTTTTTGCATTTAGTCTTACAGATTTCACTCACTTCCAAAATTCCTTAGGTCAGCCTTTTTTCTCCCCATCCCCCTTCAGTAAGGTTGTTTCATACATTTGTAATACAGAGATATTCTTTTTTTTTTTCTCACATTCTGCATTCCATTCTGGGATTTCTCAACCTCAAAAATTATTATTTTTAAAAATTTCTAACATTGAGGTTCACTGTGTGCTACAAAATTCTATGAGTTTTGACAAATGCACAGTGTTGTAAGTTCACCATTACAGTATCATACTGAAGAGTTTCATCACCCTAAAAAAAAAAAAAATCCCCCTGTGCTTCACCTATTTAACCTTCCAAAGGTCTTTTGCCTTTATATATAAACTTTAGGCTCAGCTACAAAAGAGCTTGCTAAAATTTCAATTGAGATTGTGTTGAATCCGTATACCAAGTTGAGAAGAAACGACATTTTAATGATATTGAAGCTTCTAATTCATGAATAGGTTTATATGTTTTCCTATTTCTTTCATCAGTGTTTTATAATTTTCCATATACAGATTCTCTACATATTTTGTTAGATTTACGTCTGAGTATTTAACCTTTTGGTGTTATTATAAGTGGTATTGTTTTTTAATTTTAATTTTCGTTTCTTCGCTGCTGATATATAAGAAAGAAATTGACTTTTGTACAGTAATCTTTATCCTGCTACTTTGCTATACAGTAGCCCACCTTTCATCCACAGTTTTGCTTTCCAGTTTCAGTTACCAACGGTCAACAATTATTCAAAATATTAAATGAAACATTCCAGAAAAAAATAATTCCTAAGTTTTAAATTGCACTCTGTTCTGAGTAGCTTGATAAAATATCATGTTTTCCTGCTCTGTCCCACCTGGGATGTGAATTGTCCCTTCGTTCAATGTATCCACACGGTCTAATAGTACTGGCCCATTAGTCACTTAGTGTCTGTCTCAGTTATCAGGGCAACTCTCATGATAGTGCAGTACTTGTGTTCAAGTAACCCTTATTTTACTTAATAATGACCCCAAAGTCCAAGAGCAGTGATGCCGGCAACTCAGAAACACCAAAGAGAAGCCATGAAGTGCTTCCTTTAAGTGAAGAAGTATGTATGTATATATAAGGTTCAATACTATCCATGATTTCAGGCATCCACTGAGGTCTTAGTATATGTCCCTTGTGGATCAGGGAGACTACGGTATTGGATATTAGTTCCAGGAGGCTTTCAATCAAGTTTTTCAGATTTTCTATGTAGGCTAAATGTCATCTGAGAATTAAGACAGTTTTATTTCTTCATTTCCGATCTGTATAACATTTACTTCTTTCTCTCAAATTATTTAGACTTTCAGTGCAATGTTGAATAAAAGTGGAGAGAGAACACATACTTGCCTTATTCTCAGTCTCAGAAAAAAAGGGTCCAGTCTCTTACCAGTAAGTGTGGTATTAATTATAGGATTTTTTTTGTAATGGGATTTTTTTTAATAAGATGAAGAAGTTGCCCTCTAGTCCTTGTTTGCTGAGATTTTTTTTTATTATGTCATATACCTTTTCTGCATTCAGTAACATAATCATATGATTTTTCTTCTTTAGCCTTTTGATATAATGAATTACACTGATTGATTTTGAATGTTGAACCAACTTTGCATATCTGGACTAACTCTCACTTGGTTGTGGTGTATAATCCTTTTTATATATTGTAAGATTCAATTTGATAATTCTTTTTATACATTATAAGATTCAATTTGATAAGATTTTGTTGAGCATTTTCAAGTCTATGTTCATAAGAGGTATTGGACTATAGTTTTGCTTTCTAGAAATATCCTTATCTGGTTTTGGTGTTAAAGTAATGCTGGCCTCATAGAGTGAATTAGAAAGTGTTTCTCCTGCTTATATTTTCTAGAAGATATTGTCAAGAATTGGTACCATTTCTTTTTTAAATGTTTGGCAAAATTAACCAATAAGGGTATCTGGGTGTGGTGCTTTCTTTTTTTTTTTTTAGAAGGTTATGTATTATTGATTCAATTACTTTAATAGATATAGGGCTATTCTGATGATCTATTTCTCCTTGCGCAACGTGGTAGTTTTGTGTCTTTCAAATATTTGGTCCATTTTATCTGAGTTATCAACTTTGTCAGTATATTTTCTTCATAATAAAGTTGTTCTTTATTATAGTTTTAATGTCCATACAACATAAGATTTTAATTTAATTTAAATCTGCATAATCGTATACTGTTTTGAAGCCTCTTTTTCATGTACTTCTATATGCCAGATAATTTTTCTTGTCAATTCTTCTACTTTCCATTATTACTGAGGGGTATATAATAGAAAGTATGGTGAGAAAGCTAAGACTTTGGAAGCCAGTCATCACATATCTGCTGTTGGGGAAATTCTGGGCAAAAAGTGAAGAGGTGCCAAAGTGAGAGGCTGCCCATGTTGCTGGAGGAATGGTTAGAAGTAAACACAGCAAGATACCAATACAGCAGGATCCAGAAACACCCTCTATAGATTAACTAATTCATGAAAATTGCTCTTGTGATGTGGGAAGCTGGGCATCAGGGACGTGGAAAAAACAGACTGAAAACAGTGACTGGCCCTCGGGATGCAGAAGTTGACAGACCACCATTGCACTGGATCCGAGTTTTCCTTTACCCATTCATAGAAATCAAAGCAAGCCAGGGCACATCTGAGAGGATATGAGACCGTCTCTTTGGAACAACAAGGGTTCAACTCCTTTGAGTCTCCGTGACAGGGTTATGTTATAAAGGTGAGAATTTCCATTCTTTTTTTTTTGGTTTCGCACTGCAGGAAATCAACACTCGAGTTTCATGCTTGAGTCTTTAGATCCTTGATCTGACCAGCTCTAGTGCTTTCAATGTTCCCATGGTGTGAAGATTATTAGGGTTCACATCCATATCGTATGACTTTCTGCATCTGAACTATTCCATCAGGATACACCCCTGGAAGGATAATCCCAGTTTTGGAATGGGCATGTTTTAATTGCACTTAATATATGTTGTCAGGCAAGTTTCTTGGTCATGGAAGCAATTTAAGTGTAAATCAAATATCTTATTCTCTTGTCAATGTCCTTTTGCTCTAATTGGACAATAATATCTTTCTCTGGGCATTATGAGTGACCACTGAGGCAGGAGGAGTCTTGGAGTCTTAGACACCAAGTCAGAGAGATTAAGCTGTTAATACCTGATTTGGGCAGTAAAACAGACTTAACAATGATGATGGACCAGATCGCTACATCTCCCCATGCGAAATATTTGGATGGAATCTGATCTGGGAGGAATCCTGAACATGAGGGTGCCAAACTGCTGTTTATTGAAGTTCTCTAAAGGAGGGGAGTAAAACACATGGGGGTGGGAAGTCCCCTTCACTCATGAAAAGCAGTTTGTCAGATGAAAGATCATTAAAACTATTGATGACAAACAAAGGCAATATGAAACTATGCATTCTATTATAAATCTGCTTTATTTAGCAATTACAAGTGAGCAAAGAGCAGAGGAAACATAGCAAGGATACAGACTCTGTACATTATAGAACTAGTCACTTGTGTTTTCATGACCACTGCAAGGAGGAACCCACACTTGGAAGGTGGGATATTCCTGGGCCAGCGGACAGCAAGGGGAAGTTGCCCTGTTCTGGAGTAGGACACATGCAGTGACCTTCTGATGGTGAGCAATGGAAGCTCAGGTGGAGCAGGTAAGGGCAGAGAGGAGAAATGAGGGCATTCAGCAACTTCAGTTCTACCTCAAGGACTAAGAGAAGTAGGAAGCAGGAAAAAAGAAGCAACCTGAAGAGAAGGCCATGCAGTTGGACAGGGGGCCTGAGACAATGTGGAACCGAGTGCCAGTAGGATGACTTCAGTGCTTGTAGCTCTTCCTGCTGGAGGATGAGGTGGTGGTGTATTTGATGGTGGAGCTGCTGCCCCCAGCAGAGCTGAGGCCACTTCCCACGCCTCTGCCACTGCCAGAACTGAAGCCACCTCCAAGGCTGTGACTGCTGCCATAGGCATAGCCGCTGCCTCCGCCCAGGCCTAAGCTGCTGCCTCCGCCCAAAGCTAAGCCGCTGCCGACACCACTGGCACTGCCATAACCACCAGAGATGGTGGACTGCACCACGGCTGTGGAGGAGAGAAGAACAAGGACACACAACATATGGTGAGCTCATTCTGCCAGCCCGCGTCCAGTCAGAAGAGAACAAGGGCAAGGGAAGGAGACAAGCAAAGATACTTACAGATGTTGACTTGTCCAACGCCTTCCCCACTCAGCCTAGGAAGGAGGAAACACAGTTGACCATGAGATCTCAGAGACCCACTATGTGACCAGCGTGGGAGGCCTCCATGTGAGGCCAGTCCATGGGGAAATCGCCTTTTCAAAGGTTCTCTCTGAGTAACAATCATGGCCATGACTAGAGGGCCCTAAACTTGTGCTCATTGGCTGGACATTACGGAGAAGCAGCCAGATGTCTGAGGGGGTTGTGAGTTACTCACCGGCACTCCTCGCCCTCCAGCAGCTTCCTGTAGGTGGCGATCTCCACGTCCAGGGCCAGCTTGACATTCATGAGCTCCTGGTACTCCTTCAGCAGCCTAGCCATGTCCTGCTTGGCCTTCTGCAGGGCGTCCTCCAGGCCGGCCAGCTTGTTCTTGGCGTCCTTGAGGGCCAGCTCCCCACGTTGCTCAGCGTCAGCAATGGCGGCCTGCAGGCTGGCGCACTAGAGGGGAGATAGGCAGAAGAGCTTGTATTCCAGTCTTCCTGAGGAGACTATCCGTGCTCCTCCGTTTCCGATGAGGAAGAGGTCCAGAGCCCAGATTGCGTGGGAAGGGCTCTCTGACGCTTTTTGTCCAGTCTTCGTCCATTCTGCAAACCTTATCTAGTCTGGAAGCCACTTGAGAAAACCTGTGTCCCATGTGTTAATCACCTTGTGTAAGGCTGTGGGGACTGACTGGTGGAAGACACTACAGAGGACAATGAGGAAATGAACCCACTGGCTTGTTTTGAATCTTTCCAGTATTTGATAATCTCATGTGACTGCCACACTAACTCATATAAAACTGAAAACATTCTCAGTAAGGTGATGACTTTCTTCCACCTCACATTTTTGGGTGACACTGGTCTTTGTCCTGTGTCTTTGCTTGACTGCCTTTTTTTCATGGCTGAATCTCTAGCAGATTGCAGCAAACTTCCTCACACTCTCTGGCCTGACTTTGCTTTCTCAACTTGTTTCTTTTGTGCCCAAATCAACTGTTCTTCTCATGTAATCTCAAGCCCCTGACTACGTTTTCACAGCTTGAACCAGGGCAGACTTTTTTTCGCATGTTTCTCTCGTGTTCTCAGGTTGGGATCCATCTTCCCCACCTGTGAGAACTCACTAAGGTAGCAACTGCATGTCTGCTCTTCTTGCTGTTGCTTCAATTCTCACGAATTACCCAAATGATGGCTGATGACCGCCAGGTGGTCTGGCAAGGGAATGATGCTTTTCTCTACATAGTCCCCACCGTACCTGTTTCTTGACATGGTCGATCTCAGATCTCAGCCTCTGGATCATGCGGTTGATCTCAGCAATCTCCTGCTTGGTGTTGCGCAGGTCGTCCCCATGTCTTCCAGCTGTGAGCTGCAGCTCCTCATACTGTAGTCCAGAGGGAAAGAAGGTGAGGCATATGGGCTTTCACATGCTAATGGTGGCATTCGCTTTCAATCAGGCATGTAATAAACTTGAACCTAATGGCTTCCCCACAAGAGCTTTTAGAAAACGTTGATGTTGCAAGGTCATTGGATACTCTACATTAACCTCAGACCATCCCAGTTATGGTGGGACCACTGACTGTCCAGTTTTCCTCAGAACCAGCAATGTTCTGCACTATGTTTCTATGAGCCAGAATCAGGGTGAAGTTAAAGCAACGATCACTAGGTTCTCTTCTACATTAGCTTTGCTCTTGCATTGGGTTTCTTTGACTGACTAGACTTGCACATGAATTCTGTAATTGTCTAGTCTATTGGTGCAGGGTACACATTCTGTGAGAGGACCCAGCTCACTAGAAGTAGATTGCGCAGTGAAGTCTGTGGTCTTGCTGGTCTTCAGGGAGCAAGCACAGGAACGCCTCAGCCACTGCCCACCCATGCCCACCTTGGTCTGGTACCAGGACTCGGCCTCAGCCCGGCTCCTCTGAGCGATCTCTTCATATTGAGCTTTGACCTCGGCGATGATGCTGTCCAGGTCCAGGTTACGGTTGTTGTCCATGGAGAGGACCACGGAAGTGTCTGAGATGTGGGTTTGCATCTGAGCCAGCTCCTGCAGAACGTATGATTGTCAGATCTCCTTCTGTGACATTTACAGAGATCATCCACCCTTCACGGAACCCCATTAGAGCAAATACAAGGGAGGTGGATATGCTTACTGCCTCATAGAAGGCTCTCGTGAAGTTGATCTCATCCATGAGAGCATCGACCTTGGCTTGTAGTTCAACCTTATTCATGTAGGCAGCATCCACATCCTGGAAAATAAGCCAGCAACGTGGAGTGAGCTGAGCCCTTCTTCCCAACTGCCCGTCTTCTAACCTGCCCATCTATTGTCTTCTCAGATGTGGGAAGAGACACAGAGTCCTTTCCTTCTACAAAGATCTTACTTCTACCCCGACCTTACTCAGCTCACCTTCTTCAGAGTCACAAATTCATTTTCTGCTTTGGTGCGCTTGTTGATTTCATCTTCATATCTAGAATGAGAAAGAGATAAGATGTCATTGAGTCAGTGGTGAAGAAAAGGCAGCCTGGGACCCGCTCTTTGAATAATGGATATGGCCAAATTGAGCTTTCCTGGCAGATAGCCTAAAAGACGAATGTTGTAGTCCCTACTCTCTCCTGCACCCTTATGGCCTTTTCCTATTCTTTGGGGTTTGTTTTTAGGCAAGAATCGTGATTTTCATTTTCTTGGACATTCTTTGCTAGCAAATCACGCTCACGTCTGCTCCTGGTCACCAATAGTCTTGAGGTGTGTGCTTCAGGAAACCGAGCCCATTTGTCTTTAACTCACTTGTTCTTGAAGTCCTCCACCATGTCCTGCATGCCCCTGAGCTCCGAGTCCAGGCGTCCTCTCTCCCCGAGGATACTGTCCAGCTGTCTCCTGAGGTTGCTGATGTACTGCTCGAACAAAGGCTCCAGGTTCTGCCTCACGGTCTTGGTGCCCTGCTCCTGCAGCAGGGTCCACTTGGTGTCCAGGACCTTGTTCTGCTGCTCCAGGAACCGCACCTGGAGGAAGGAAGAAAGAGATTTGAGTTGTCAGGTCCCCGAGCATGCTTGGTCACCATGATGCTGAGCTACCACAGAGCACGTGTAGAGACTCAGGCTGGCAGCCCTGCCCCCCAAACTGCTGTCCTTCACACCCCACAGATTTCACTGGTAACGTCTCCCCGTGGACCTTGAGGTGCTCTCACCCTCTATGTTCTGAAGGCTATCAGTGACTTTCAACATTTCTTTTCTTTCTCTTGACAAGCACAGTCACTAATCTGGTTCAAAATAGTATTTCCTTGATATATTACACCAAGCTTTTTTCTTTTAGATGCTACCTCAGGCAAAAGAATGTCAAATATCTAGAATCTAATGATTAAATTCCACTCTTTTTAATGGTCAGATTCTAATCTCACTTTCCATTTAGTGCATGAGTCTCCTGTAAAATGAACTTTCTTACTGGGCCCTATCTGGTTCTACAAACTTAGTATTTTGATGGAAATGTGTTCTGAGTCTTTTTCTTTAATCCAGCAGTAATCCTTCTCTTCTCTCTTTTTAATTTTACTCTTTTCCCTCTTGCCCAGAGCCCCAGAGCCGTGTTCTGCCGGATTGTTTTTATCTCTTAGATTCCTCCGATGGTAAAGCTAACCCATTCCATTTTCTCACTGCCTATTTTTCTTTCCTTTAGGGTTATAAAAGTTGAAAATTCTTCCTAGGCAGGAGGAATGAGGAACATTTAGTAAATTCAGTAGTTCTAAAAGATTTCCATCACCTCTGTCTGTGGCCAACATGGAGCCAACCTGGCATCCCAGTGGGGAGCCAGTCTGTCTCTGTCTCCCTCTGCTCATTCTGGTAGGATGTTCATCCGTTCTCTATTTTGGGGACTCAAAAATCCCAGGGAGGGCAGCTTCTCCCGGCTCACCTTGTCGATGAAGGAGGCGAACTTGTTGTTGAGGGTCTTGATCTGCTCCCGCTCCTCAGTCCGCACCCGCTGGATGGTGGGGTCGATTTGCAGGTTCAGAGGAGTGAGGAGATTCTGGTTGATGGTGACCTCTTGGATGCCTCCAGGGGGGCACACGGGGAAGCCAGAGCCCCCATAGCCACCAGCAAAGCCAGCTCCACCACCGAGCCCAAAGCCACTACCAGCTGCACCGCCGAATCCAAATCCACTCCCGGCTCCAGCTCCGAAACCAAAGCCCCCTCCAACTCTGCCGCCGTATCCTCCACCGATGGCACAGCTGCCCCCTCCGATGGAGATCCTCTTAGAGCCCCCCAGGCCATAGAGGCTCCGGCTGCCAAAGCCAGCTCCTCCACACACTCCACCAAGGCCACCACTGCCCCTAGAGCGGGACACGGAGACACTGCTGAAGCCAGAGCGGCAGACCCCAGGGACTCTGGCTGAGCTGGCACTGAAGCCACGGCGGCTGCTGCTTTGGCTCCTCATAGTTGTGCTAGACATGGTTCCTGAAGATGCGAAGGCTGGAGAAGGCGTGAGAGGCTGGAGGGCAGAGCTGAGAGGAGCAGATGTGTGAGATGAGCTTCCCGTAGCAGTTTATATATAGTGAAAATGGGCTGGGCCCAGTCCTGGAAGGTGAGCTTGCAGATTGGGAAGGGCTGGGCTTTACAAATAGTGAGATCACATCTGGATTGTTAGAAAAGTTATGAAATATGAAGATTGTATTTTGGCTTCCTTTAGTCAGGGAATATTTTCTTGCCTTCCAGCTTTGACTTGATCCAGCATCTAGAAAGGTATGAAATATGACGATTGCATTTTTGGATTTCTTTCATCAGGGAGAAATTCTCCTGCCTTCCAGCCTTAACTTGATCCCAACACAATAAGCCTGGATGTAAATTCACTGAAGTCATGAATTAGTCATGTTCTCAAACAAAGGAGACAAGGCACTGATCTGTGATAATTGTCTTTTCTTTCTGCTTACTCAGACACTCTTCTGAGTGTCCCCTTCCCACACAGGTTTTCTAGTCCACCAGCACCACCCTTCCCATCAGGGTGGGACTACCTCTGAAAGCTTACAGACATTTACTCAATGCCCTGAGCATGAAGTGGCCTACAGTGTTTTCTTCCACCATGTTTGAACCTGTCCTTAGGAGCTCTTGGATGCTGTTCCTAGTGGCCTGGCCATGGTAGTCCTGGCTACTTTGGGGACATAACCTTCCCTTGAATAGCAAGGACAAAAGAAGTTTTTTTTACAGTGCAAGACCAACATTTGCTCTCTGTCCTGTCTGATAAGCTGCCCAATTAGTAGTTTCCTGAGAGGATAGGAGACATCACCCAAGACCACTCTGTCCAGAGACTTGACTTCTGCATAGTGTTTCTCTCCATGCCAGCACCTCCTTTCCTCATGTGTGTTTTTCCATTGAGCTGATTATCATGTAAATTTTTCTTTCCAACTGGAATTTATAGACATCTTTTCTCTGCTCTTTTGGAATTTCTTTTAGAGCTTAAAGAATCAAAAATGCATAGGACAAAAATCAATAAGAAAAGCACTGAATTTTGATTTCCTCAAATTTTTACATTTCTTTAGAATCAAGAGTCAGACATCTTAATGGGATGTGCAGAATGCTAAGGGACATATGGAAGCAGTGAATCATAAAAATGTGCCCTTACAAGTATGATGATGTCACAAGTAAATTCCAAATTTACATTTCTAATCTCAGCACTTGAAATCTTAAATTTCCGCACATCTTCTCAGAGAAGAGAAGGCTGTCAAATGAGTGCAGCGTTTGGTGTAAAGGGGAATGAGGTTCATTTTTTGCAGTCCACACATTAAGTACGGAGCACGAGGAACATGAAGAGCAACTGCAGGCATGTAGTTCTATTCTCATAGAACAGGCAACTAGGGGAGGAAAGACAAACTCCTGCATTGAGATGTCCTGAAGAAAGCTCTTGATACTATTTTACAAGTAGTCCTATCTCTCCAATGTTTTGCGGGGCACAACATCCAGGAGGGAAGGGCATTTCCTGCCCAAAGGAGGTGCTAACTCAGCGTCTGGCTGGGAAGAGATACCTTCTCAAGACAACGGAAGCAGCTCCCCTCCCTCCACCCTGCTTGCACAATGGATGACCAAGAAATGGGCTGCCACCCAGTTCTGAGAAAGAAGTGTTCCTTCCCATGGCACTGTTTTCTGATCCATGCTACTCTCTTGGGATAAAAGCTTTAGGCTTGGCACAGATAATGCCAGGAGGGGTAGGAAGGTTTGGCAAGTCAGATGGGAGCAGCGTGCATTTGCCCAATGTCTTATGTCCATGTCAATGTCCAATGTCCATTGCTGCTTTCACACTGTGATGGCAGAGTTGGGTCGTTGTAACAGAGTGTGTGGCTCACAAAGACTAAAAGATTTGCTCTTTGGCCCTTTAAAGGGAAAGTTTTCCAACCCCTGGTTAAGAGCATTGATTTTAGAGACAGAGTGTTCAGGCTCATAACCAGGCTCCCTTGTGTCTACATGAAAATTAACTCATTTTTCACAGATGTAAACTGGGGATGAAAATAGTACCTACCTCATAGTGTCATGAGGAATACATGAGATAATTAATGTAAAGTCCTTAGCAGTGCCTGCACATAAGTTCTCAAAGAAGATGAGCTAATATCATTTTTATAAAGGAAGTCTGAAGAAACTTGGGTATATTCAGGCACCCTCAAAAAGCTTCAAGAACTGGAACACAAGTGCAGCTTATGTGTGTATGTGTGTGTGTGGTGAGGGGGTGAAGCGAAAGAGAATGAAAGCAATGTTAGTAAGAACCTGGAAGCCACATGTAGGTGGAGTCCTAGGTAACACCTTACCCAAGGAGATGGAAGGTAACTGTGGTCAGCATGAAAAGAGAGAATTCGAGTTCTTGGTGGGAGCCCAGCAGGCTGTTTCCTCCCTGCTCTGAAGTCAGGCTCCCCTGCCTCATCCTCCACTGGATCCTTGTCTATTTTCTGGACTGTGGGGGACAAGGACAGGCTGCTGTCAACCAGCACTGGTGACCAGATTGGTTCTTCCCTTAGTATTGATTTTATCTATTTTCAGGGTGGGGGTGGACTCATCTCTGAACGAAGTGTATAATTTAATTGCAGCAGGTACCTCACATTAAAACCATTTAGCCTATCAGAGAATGGTTTAACTTCAATATATTATCCAATCTCAAGCTTAGCATGCATGCCAGACAGCACCAGCAATTTCCCAACACAAGTATTTCTCCTACTGGTAGATTTACAACACATTCTCATGCATGTGTGTGTGTGTGTGTGTGTGTGTGTGTGTGTGTATACACACACAGAGAGACATATGTATGTGTATGTGTATCTATCTATATCTATCTATATCTATCTATCTATCTATCTATCTATCTATCTATCTATCTATCTATCTAAAGATACACATCTCTTCCCGTCCCCCACCCCCCGCCCCTAAGTTCCCATCACTACCTTCCAGGGAATGATGCTCTGGGAACCAATTCCAGTGACTCTGACCATGAGTAAGGTTAGCTGAGAGGGCTCATAAGAGATGATGAAAGCTCCTAATACAGTGGAGCGGGAGTTGGGAAGAAGGAAACCCGTGGTAGATCCATTTCTGATTTCATTCTTTCCTAGTCTCACCACCCTTACAAGGTCAAATTTGTATTTTAGTCATTTGCCCTTGATTTTCTGTATCTTTCTTTGGGTGTGTGGAGGTGTCTCCCGTTCCCTAACCTATTTTTAGACTGCCACCTTGGGTTAAGCTGTACTTCTTTCTTCTTCTAGAGTCCAGCCCTCTGCCCTCTATGCCTGCTTTGTCACCCAGGAGAGGGTTGTGTTCTTAGGTAGTGGGGACCCATAAATGGTTAGAGAATTGACTTATTGGATGAAATATTTCCAGTGACTCTGAATCATGTTCCATAGCAGAGGCCAGGGGAATTATATGTTCCCAGAGGAGCAGACCTTCATAATAAGATTAGAACAAAGAGTGATAGTTCAGGCAATTATGTGAGAGAAACTAAAGCAAGCAGTGGGAGTAATTCCAATGACAGCTGGCCTCCTTCCCAGCAGGCCGCTGAACCCAGCCTCTATTCTCTGCCGGGAGAGCCTCTATCCAGTCTGGTGCTGTCTCTGATTGCCAGAGAAAGAGGAAGGCCTTTGTTTTAGAGCCCAGGGATTAATCTGTACTTTTTACATTTTTCTCAGCATGGCAGAAGGCAGGAGGGAACCCCTGAAGGCTGAGCCCATGGAAAATCTACCTCAAGAGAATTTGTCTTGTCTTTCTGCTTCCCTGGGTGGAGCTGGCTCATGGGAATGAAAGATGGGCTTTTGTCATCATCTGTCAAAAGCTTAAGACTAAGTGCCTAATCTTGCAAGCCTCAGCTCAGTATGAAGCTGTTCAGAGGGAATCCCACAGACCTAATCCTGTCTCTAGGGAGTACCCATTGAAAGAGAAACATGCAGCCACACGTGTAAAGAATGTAGTTTGTGGCACCAAAGTTGGAACGGAAAGCTCAGCCTTCTGTGATATAAAGAAAGGTTCTGAAAATATTGAAACTTTCAAAATTGCATTATGTAGTAACTAGGCTATTTATGAATATGTAGTATGCACCAAGCTGTAGCGCTTCCCTGTACATCTCAATTTTCACAGACACAGTCCACCCATTTTTTGCACAGAACACAGTGACAGCGTCACATACCTGGACATGATACCTGGGTGGCTTTGTCCACATCTGCAGGAGGTTTCTGACAGCTCTGTTTTCCAGTGAGATGGGGCTGTACCTCAGGATAATTGTGGGATCCAGAGGTCATTGAATGAATGACTTCTAGAGAATAAGATGTATAAACTTGCAGTTATAAAATAAATAAATCCTGGGATATAATGTACAACATAGGGAGTATAGTCAATAATATCATAATCCTGTATGGCAATGAATAATTACTAGACTCACCGTGGAGATCACATCGTAAGGTATATAAATGTCGAATCACTACGTTGTTATCTGAAACTAATATTGTAAGTCAACTATAGTTTAATAGAAAGAGAGAGAGAGAGAGAGAGAGAGAAGAAAGAAAGAGAGAGAGAGAGAGAGAGAGAGAAGAAAGCAGAAAGAAAGAAAGAAAGAAAGAAAGAAAGAAAGAAAGAAAGAAAGAAAGAAAGAAAGAAAGAAAGAAAGAAAGAAAGAAAGAGAAAGAAAAAGAAAGAGAAAGAGAAAGAAAGAAAGAAAAAGAGAAAAGACAGGAGAAGAGAGGAGAGGAGAGAAGAGAAGAGAGAAAGAAAGGCCATGTACAGTGCTCAATGAATGCTTAGTTCAAAACATTGACCTGCCTCTAGAACTGCAGTTCCAAATCGCCAGACTTCACTCCACGTGGCTTCTAGTGGGGATCAGTCAAGACCTTGTATTTGTCCTACATCTTCTTCATAGCCTGGAGGAGATGAAGGGGAGCAGTGTGGCTGCCATTTCAACCACAAACAGTAATATGAAACAAAGGTTCTGGGATGAATTGAGCTGCAATTATTAGCCCACAGGATTGATGTATGTCATGTGCCTCGAGGGACACAAATTGAGCATTTATACACTGATGGAAAAAAACTGATTGTTCCTTTCATGATTTTGGTACACATTCCCATAAAACCCAGTTCCTGGGTAATACATTTTTAAAAGTATTCATTTCTTTTTGATTCACTCTGTACTTACTGATATTGGGAAGGT